GTGCACTAAGAAACTCCACCTGATGGGGAACATGTGGATATTTCTCAACAATAAGGTTGCAGTTTCAACAAAATGCTAACTCTTTAGCATGACCATTTACTGAAACTGCATACACAATGCAATCAAATCACTTCTAAGACTGTTTCGATCAATCGTGTTTGTACTGAATTTGTCCAGTTGGTGTCACTCCTTTGTCAATACCTGTGAAAGACGTTAAATCCATTACTTTTCACACCTTTAATGGTGACGTTCAATCGGCTCCTCACTGAAGGACCACTGCGCTCGGCTGGGACATCTCCATTATTTAGCCAAGATCTCAAACCAAGACGCACATTTTAAAAACGTGTCCACAGAGAAGTTGGGGAAAAATAAAACTAAATCGCACTCACACACCTACCGGTTTAAAGGCGGCTTCGTAACGACTTATCGTTGATACCATCTCTGAGTGGGTCATTCACTGCGTAGTATTTGCCCTTTCCAGCCCCGATGTCCTGTAAACATTTCACAGCACTCTGTAAATGCTGTCCAAAAGTTTCATTTCCGCTGACAAAAAGCATGACATGTTTTTCTTACTTGGACAATGTCGTTCACGTAACACAAACCAGATGCTTCGGACTTCTTGACGTCGGGGAGTCCACCGGCCCAGGTGATGGCGATATGCTGCTGCACCTGAAAAGATTGACTTCATCAATGTCATACGTGCACGAGCGCACACGCTTAAATAATAAAAGTGTGCTTCACTAATGCACGTGGCTAAAGTTGCAACACAAAATGTTTGGACCACTCAAATGGTCATGTGTACGGTCTTCAAAGCGCTATCTCGTACAATTCAATAAGACGCTGACTGAAACGATGCGTGCAGTCAGAACATAGTTTGAATGCCCAAACCGTGCTGCTCAAACAGGCTACTGTTTAGCACGCTAACCCCCTGCCCCACTCGGCGGTTCAACAGCGTGTAGACGGTTTAAAACAAACCATCTACACGCTCTGCGGAATACTGGTCCTTCACAGGACGCGTTAATCGCCAAAGTGAAGAGAACCAGAGATGGAAATACGTTCCATCGTAATAGTAGCAAACCTTTTTTTTTCTCCGTACCTTCACACTGCGCCATGTTGCAAGCATCGCCGGGCTGGAACGTATTACCACTTTCTTCCGGTTCTAAAGGGCACATGTGCGCCTCGTTATCCAACCACAAGCGTCCTGCACCACATCAGGTGACACTGCAGGCTCATTGGTTTGTCAGAGCAGCTAAAGGAAAATTCCAGCAACTCTTCTACTGAATTATGCAGCAAATACTGACCGCATTAAATGTGTGCAAATGTTACAAAAATGGCCAAGAAATCTGTGACAATACCAAGGATACATTTTAGTTTTGGGAACTGCCTTTTTTTGTCTGCAGCTTCATTTTTACTGTCGAGAAATGTGATTGCTGCAGAAAACTACTTTTGCTGCTAAAGGAAAAGAGACGCAACTGACAGCAAGCAAGACTATAGCCTTACCATCACGAAAAATGCAAAAAAAAATAAAAAGTCCCAGAAATGCCTCAAAATTGAAGTCTCTGCACCAAAACACGCTGCCAAGTGAATATTTTGTGCTAAAAACTCAGAAAAACATTAAATCTGAACATGTCAAAATTTCTAGTTGTATTTATTTCATGCACCCTATTTCACTAGACATATATTTAAAATATGTCAAATAATTGTTCATTGTTATTGATAGTTTCTTTTGAAAAAAAAATTCATTTAAAAAATAAAAAATGTTTTGTTTATTATTTGTTTTAAATATATGTGACAAACGCTCTGGTGCTTTGGCCCACAGGCAATGTCTCTGTCATTGGAGGGTTCACCTCCTGGGCAAGATCGAATCCTGGTTAGGGCAGTTGGTACCTTTCAGTGGAGTCACCACACGCAGCAAGGTTCAGGGGGGTTGATACGGTGCAGTATGATTTGGGTGGCTACTGCTGCCCCCGCGACCCGGTAACAGATAAGCGCATGAAAATGGATGGATGGTGACAAAAGCTTGATGAAAATAAGTCATGATATGCTGTGGTCCTAGGCACCGAGGACTGTGATGAAGCCCAGGAGATGCTCCGCGTCACAAGCAAAACCCTGAAGATGCTGCTGACGGACGTGGAGCAGGATCTGAGCAGCTTAAGACCACCACTGGGGAGTAAAAAGATGGTGGTGGTGCAGAAAACATCTGTAAACTTGTGGACAAGATGGAGGTCACATCCTCAATGCTGAGGCTTGATTGCTCTCACCAGGACCTGGTCCCAGAAATTTAATTATTTTTGTCGTTGCTTAGGTTAGGCTCACCAAAAAAATAACGAGAGGTCTGCAGAAGCGAAATTATTTGCAGTTTCAAATAATCGTTCATGAATGCCGTTTTTAAAAATAAAACGTTTTTCAAATACATTCTAGTAGTAGTCATTTAAACTCAACGTATACAAAAGATGCATTTGAATTTACTTGTGAAGAACATGGAGTGGATTCACTCCATTCACATCAATTCAGTGTTTCCCCTACTATTTTGTTGCATGAATGTTTGAAAGTATCATTCTCAAATTATTCTTTTTTCTTAGCTCTCAACGTGTTTGGCCTGCCACTGCATGCACACCATCCCAACGCCACCACACCCAGAGTAAACCCAGGGGACAACACTGATGTACATGTTGAAGTAAAAACGTTGAAATTTCAAAAGTTGGTTACAAACCACATGCTATACTATGTAATTTGTCAAAAACCATGAAAAATGAGTATTTCCTATCAGAAAATACAAGAGTTGTACATGCTTAGGTGCATTTTGGGACATTTATGTAAAACTGTAAGAATGTTCTTAAATCTACAGTCATGTCAGTCCCCACTGGTCCATTGTATTGAATCACAGTCTTGCAAATATAGCTACATTGCTTTATTTTCTCTATTCTAGTCTTGTAGTGTTTCCTAAACATTTTTTCTGGGGACACATTTTAAAAGTCACAAACTTTCGCGATCCAAGTCAATAGAAATTATTCGCAAACTAATAGAAATTATTCGCAAATTCCTGGGAAACATGATGCAAAAAGACCAATAAAACAAAAAACAAAAAAACAAAACTCTTGCGACCCACCTGAGGGTTACGACTCAGTCTTTGGGAAACAATGTTCTAGTGTATTTATGTTTTATAAACATCCCTCACACATCGGAGATGAGTGCTCGTCCTTATGAAAACGTCAAAAACGCGTTAAAATTACAGTATTACAGTCAGAATTTTTGTTACTTTTATTTTAGAAAATGTCCTTTAAAGTGTGGCATTTCAAGTCACATTTTGTTTAAAATACAGAAAATACAGACAACAGAACATAACAGCAAAAAAAAAAAAAAACCAAAAAAACAAACAAACAAAGGAAACAATGACAGAAAATAAAGCTAACAAGCCTTTCTGACTGCACTAGTTTTCTTGTTTTGAAATAGAACTGAAGGCAAAAGGAAGAAAAGTTGGAAGAAACAAAAGGCGTCAGGGTGGGTGGGAGGTAATGGAGGGTCAGAATGAGACGAAGTTAGTTAAGGAAAACTATGGTTGCTTTATGGTTCATGTTTAAATTATTTTTTATAAAGTCTAATTTAAGATTTAATCTTTCCTCTCTCTTTTTTGTCTTTTTCATAATTTTTTTGATCTTCTGGATCCAGGGAACTCGGCGCTTCTCCTTGTGGTCTCAGACTGAGGACAAGGAATACCGACTTCGTCTGGCAGTGGGGACAAAACCAACTGTGTCACCTTTCCCATGTGGCCCACACTGCCAACTCAAGAAGATAAAGTGGAGTCCTTCTGTGTTTGCTGTGCTTGTGAACGTTGCATGGACTTCTGACTTTCCAAGTCTCTAAAATGTTTCTCGACCTGTGGGGAAAAGAACATCAACTGTTATGGAGATACTCCTCATTACACAAACCCTGTTGTGATGTTTTTGGAATAATAAAAAAAAAACCATAATTAAACTATGTCAATTTATAGAGATAAGTATCTTTCAAACCCACTGTTAAATAACCAAATCATTCTTTATTAGCAGACAAACGATTCAGACAGATTTTGATTTTTTTTTTTTTTGTTTCTCAATGACATAAAGATACATTACCCTTTTAACACAATATATTACAATCAAGAAAAACAAAAACGTATCCAGGAAACAAAGAAACACTAAAAAGTCCATGAAGACGCACAACTTAAATATAAGTTAAACCCGGAATAAATCAGCTGATAGCAGCACATCAAGTTAAAGACTTTAGAGAGAATTTAACCCCTCAACCTTGACTACCTTGGAGTTGGTGACTTGTAGTAGACATTGCTGATATTTGATCTATAAAATGAATTGATGCAGTGTTAGGGAAGTACAGGACAGACACTCCTTGTATACTTACTATTTTGCGTACATGACTTAAAGCGCTTCCCTCTTTGCCTTTGCAGTTGTCGACCTGGTAAGGCGGTGAGATTACGACGTCGTCCATCACAATAATGTTCTTCTCCTGCCATTTACAGTCTTTGATGCTGCAAAGATACATCCACATCACTTTATTTTCAGCAGCTGGTGAAGCACTTTTGTGTTAAAACAACAGATGGGTTGCCATTACATTTATGTCCCACTTCTCTGCTAAACAAGTTTCACTGTGTGGTTACGACAGCACAATCTATAAAAACTGTCAACAGGTTTAAAATTTAAAAATATATAAATAAATATTTCAGGTATTACTACAAAATTTGTGTGTAGTAGAATAGGAGTTAAGGTATTTATCCCGTATGCTGTAATCTCGAAAGTAAAGTTAAGTAGTGTTTAATAGACTGATGGCTCTACGTTTTTGGGCTGAAAAAAAAAAGAAAAAAATAATTTCATTGAAACATGTCAACTTGTATGAACTTATTGAAAAAGCTAACACTATTGTAACTGATAAAACTTTTAGAAATGTCACCTTTCTATGATGTTTTGTTTACATGTGGTCAAGAATAATAAATGCTGAAATCTCAACAACATTTCTGATTCTCTCAGTCAGTGTTTTTCTTCTCCTGATAATAATAACAATAAGTTATGCTGCAGTGGAATAACAAATCGGAAAAGGCATCAAGATCAAAGATATTTACAAATCAATACAACTCAAAAATCCTCCTGAATGAACCATACGTTGACACACTGTACATGCCCTGGGTCCCTGAAAATAAATGAGAGGTTCTTACGTTTTGTGTATGGTCTGGAATAGCTGTTGGCCCTCCACAGAAACCCCAGCACTGATTGCATAGGCTTGGGACAGCTTGTCCTCCTTTTCTGTCCGTGCTCGATTGGCAAGCTGCGGAGAGAGGACAAGAAGCATTTTTAAATCTGAACCTTTGACACTTTAATCAGAACAAATCCAACTGGTAGTTAACACAAATATATGACTCCATGAAATTTGAATAACGAGCCAGGATTACTGGCACTGAGTCATTGAAAGGGTTATCCTCCAAAAATGCACTACATGCTGAATTGTTTTTATTGGCTCTTGAATCAGCTGCAAAATCTATAAAGCAGATGGGAAAGGAAGTTTAAGGACTTTCAGCTTACAGTCATAACGTGCCAAAAACTACAGAGACAAATATTTCTCGACAGATGAAACAAATACAATATACTACTGCATATATTTAAAGATAAACATCTGATATTGATAACATATGGACGCCGTTGACTGAAAATGTTAAGCAGTCGGCCACTACTTCTACTACTGCTGCTTCAATGGCTTCAGAATTGAGGGCAGGTACAAGGAAGTTCCACCAGTTAATGTTTCCATAGCTTCAATAATGAACTACCTCAAGTGTTGTCTCTGGGGGGCACTCTTTTTATTCATTAACAACATCTGAGGTTATCTGACAAACGACTTTGTTTGACTAAAACTATTTTTCCAATTGTATATTTATAAAGAATTATGAAAAATTAGAACTACCTAAAACTCTGGTGAAGCAACTCATCTAGTTCACAAAAATGTTCACCCAGGTGGACTATATCATGGTCAACAACTAACAGGTGCCAGTTTGTCCAAATTACCTGATTTTACACAATATAAAGTAGTAAAGTATTTTCTCCAGTCTTTCCATCTACACTGCTTCATTTCTCCAGCAGTGACTATAGTAATAACATTAAGTCCAAAACCACACAAAGGCAGCCCGGCAGCAGAGAGAAACTGCAGAAAGATTTGTCACCGTCACTCTGTAGATTTGCAAACTGACAGAATTCACTTCCAGATTAATAATAGAGTGAATGATATGTGTAGCTCTTTCCCAGAAGTTTCTTGTTTTCAGTCATATAAGACAGTTCATTTCCTCTACAGTTGGGTGTGACACTATATCCTGCACCCTGAAACACAGCTGACTGGATTATTAAGTCATACTAAAGGTTACATATCAGCATGCTCTCAAGCTTTGACGTCCAAAATTTTCAAACTTGGTTTTAAAAAATGTGGACCCCCCCCCTTGCCCCTTTGTGTAAACTCATATTTAACATTCCATCACACATTTCAACAGCTGTTACACAAACCTAAAAAGAAGAACCAAAGTTGACTCACCTTGCTAACATTCAGTGATGCTAGAGGAGGTGGCGTCTCAGTGCGGTCATTTATTATGTCCACATCAGAAACATAGGCTAAATTGATCAGGATGACGTCGTTGAGGTTCGGCTTACCGCTGGAGGAAGCACATTCTTCAGAAAGTACTGCAGTCAAGGAACACAGTGTGATCACAACACAATGTACCTACTGAAACATGACCCGGGATGACCCTGAAAACTATTACAGAGAAGTCTGTGATACAGAAAAACTGGGGCTGTGTTACAAGGACAATCGGTGCCAGTTACAACATTGCTGCCACCTGTAGCCACTAGAAAAATTGTAATACAAACAACAAAAATGAATGACTGAAGCAGCACACAGTGCTAAATAAATATTTACCCTCTAGTATTTAAACTAGTGATTAAAAGAGGTGAAGTGCATTGAAAGGCGTGTAGCAATTTCAGCTTCCTGGATGAAGAGTGTTTAATGTATAAATTATTAAGCATGTAAATAAAACGTAGCATTGTCTTGTCATAGGAAGATCTGAAAATAGCAATGAGTGACTTAGTATGATTGTAAGTCTACAAATGGTTAAGGCCAATTCTCTCAACTAATTACATATATACAGAGAGAGAAAAAAAGTGCAAAACTGAAGAATGTCTACAACAACACCAGCCACATCTTTGACCTGTCAATCAGAAGACTGGGATCATATTTAGAAAACTGGCATAATAAAACAACTCACTGCAATTGCTTGAATTAATTCATTAACAGTTATTTGAACTGGATTCCCACAAGTTCTATTCATCACCACAACAATGACTGCATTAATCGCTGGTGTAATAATGTATCTGTATTTATTCAACTCACAAGCAATTTATTTAATTTAGAGCAAATCCATATAATAATTGCAAATGCATTGACCTTATAATAATTCAATTTAATTCCCTTTTTATTTCAACCCCTCCTTAAACCCTCTCACTAGGTTTTAACTTACACTTAGGCCTGTAATGTAAACTGTCAAACATCCGGATTGGGTGAAATCCAGTCATTCATTCATTCGTCGTGTCTGACCACGTGATGAAAGTTGATAAAGATTTAAGTCAGTGAAATAAAGTGTCTGTCCAACATGCTCATCTGTAGTGATGTAGAGACATACACACCCATGAATGACTGAGGACATGTTCACCAGCGGGCTTGCGTTTGCTACAGTGGACACACGGTGTCTCAACTACTTAAATAATGTTTAATTCAAAGTTATGACCAACACAGTGGCAAAATAAAAGTCATAATGTCATCAAAACAATACGAGAGGTTGTTAGAAGCTTGGATCTCGCCATTCAATTCTTCTGAATGGACCAACGGCGGCAGTGTGTGGCTGACCGAAACATAGCATGTTAGCCGAGCTAACATTGGACTGATTGTAACGTGGGGGCTGCTCCCTATCCATTCATTCTTGAGATCTTTCAAATGACTGCTACCACCTACATGTGCTGGCAACATAAGGCGTTTGGACTATGTTTGTCCAGTGCTTTGACTGTTAGAGGCGCTGAATGTCAGTTAGCTTGCTAACTTACTAGCATTGGTTTGTGCACACAGCCATGATGCCTTACAGGACCCATTGCCAGATAGTGATCCATGATGAGGTCTGGTAATACAATGAGTGGATTCACAACACATGCACCGACTACAAGATTACGCAAGGACACGAAGACGGCACACAACACCTACAGAACTTACAACAATAAGAAGCCCTTTTTTTGTACCGTCTACAACATAGAAAGTATTTGCAAATTATATAAGAAATGCTACCGGGCTGCCACCAATTACGCCTGTGCGGATCACTATTTGACATATTTTCGGTTACCCTACAGGCCCTTGCAGCCCGGCAGGCCAGCCAGCCATCCGCAGCTCCAAACGAACAAAAGGATACTCAAAGTCAACATCTTGGACTGGTAATCAAACGCGACCACTTCTCCTTGCAGACGTTGGCCCAAGCAGGTGATGCAAGAGACATGGCTCCCGACGCTAAAATACTCCCCCGGTCCAGGAGCCGCCATCTTCTCCGCCAGGAAACCGGAGCGCCTGCCTTACGTGAAAGCGACGCGACGGCGTAGAGTGACGCAACATGGGCGTGTCAAAGGACGTCTCCTTTGGTCATTTATTTATAGAGGGAAAAAAAACACATACAATTTTCATAAACACAAATCACATCACATTGTTGTATTGTTACAATATATATTTAAAGCCTAAAGTTATTATATTAAATTAAGCAAATTGCCCCCCGTTCAAACTCGACCTTTCACGTATCGACTTCCCCTACAGGATTTAAACAATATTGCAGCAGCCTCCTTTGCAGTACATCTCTTAACACATAACATTACGCCGGCTATTGACTTTTACTTCAATACAGTTGTATACCTGAAAGCGGAGGGAAATGGATGAGATTCATACACAAGGCATTTTAATTGCCGAAACGCTACAAGAGAAGCTGATGAGCCATAAGCATTTCTGGCTTGTTGCTACTCATTGTGGAGATCCTAACGCAGCCTTCTTTCTAGTCTTTCCCTTCACCTACTTCATCAGCAGACGAACTGGCGTGACTGTGCTTTGGGTAGCTGCTCTATCAGAGTGGTTAAACCTGGTGCTGAAATGGTAAGACAAGAAACCATATTTGAGAATTTGAGCGTTTATTGCAACTTTGCTCTACAATAACTCTATATCTAGCATAACGCCAACAAAAATAAAATTGTTAAAGAATCGTTATATTAATTTCAATCTCAACGTTTGTGTTTTCTCTTCTTGAAACATAATGTAAAACACAAATTTTGTATTTTCTGTCGTCGTCGCAGGTTCCGGGTTGGCACTTCCTCAATTCAACGGAGGTTCAACTCAGTGTTCTGTCCGACTAGAAACAGAAATGCGCGGAACTATACTGACTTTAGAATGTTTATTGAGTTTTGATATTTTGATATATGGAATAAAGAATAACAATAACAATGTATATCAGTTACTCTAATATTAGTATTTGTAATTAGCACGTTTTACCGCACAGTAGCACCCAGTCGCCAAAATGATATATAAATAAAGTAATAATAAAAAACTCCTAATGAAATCTTAAAAACAGTGAATACGATGTAGTGAAATAATGCGACAAAAGGCATATTTCCACCACTAGATGATCCTGAATTAGCCACAACATGTTTAAGATTAGCTTAAGGACATAGGTTATGTAAACCAGACAGAAGAAAAAGTGACACAGATGAAAACGTATACTGGTGACTGTACTGGCGTTTTAAATGGAAGTCATAAGTTACATACTCGGAGTTAATATGTATTTATTCCCCAGGATGCTGTTTGGTGAAAGACCATTCTGGTGGATAGGAGAATCACGACTGTTTGTTAACAACGAGCCAAACGTTCAACAGTTTTCTGCAACATGTGAAACGGGGCCAGGTGACCTGATTTATAATGTGACAGAAATCAGTTCTATTCGGTACACATCCGCTCAAATGTTCTTTTTTCTTCTTCCCAGGGAGTCCATCTGGACATGCAATGGTGACAGGTGCAGTGTGGTGGGTGGTGGTGTCCTCGTTAGGGTCATTTCTCTACTCTCGCACTCACAGGTATGATTTAAAAATGTCCTTGTAAATATGCATGTCAAGATAGCGTTGCATCTTTTTTAATGAGCCATTTTACCTGTGCCTCCAGTGTGGCGTTATCAGCACTCCCCTACCTGTTCTACGTGTTGATGCTGATGGTAGTTGGAATCTCTAGGATTTTTATACTAGCTCATTTTCCTCATCAGGTCGTCGCAGGCTCAGTTACAGGTTTGAATAAAGTGTTGTGTTCAGATACTGTCTGCTTGTATCACCACCTTTGTTTTTTCATTGCAAATTGAAATTGTACTTGCCAGGTCTCATTCTCGGTGTAATCCTGAGCCACAGAGTGCCAGATGGTCGCCCCCTGCTTTTCTATTTTACTTCCAGCATGGGACTGCTGATCAGTGCTCTGATATTCCATGCTGGATTAAAACAGTTAGGGTTGGACCTCTCTTGGTATGTAGTGATTCGGAACAGTTTGTAATGAGCCTTGTCAGGTGATACTGAGGAACATCCTTTCTATATGCTATAAATATTCTGTTCCCCAGGTCTACTGCTTTAGCCAAGAAATGGTGCAGCCATGCAGAGTGGATACGTTTGGATTCGACACCAATCTCCTCTCTGTGTCGCGATTGTGGAATCCTTCTTGGTCTGGGGCTAGCCCAGTACTGGAAACCTAGAGGATGGTCCCTGCCATGGGCTCCCAGGGCGTTATGTGTGGCTTTCGTGTCCATGGCACTATACCACGTGAACCGACTGCCGCTTCCTGTCCGGCCTCAAGTCCTCTTCTACATCCTCTACTTTGTCAAATTTGCCATAGTGCCACAGGTTGTTATGGTGCTTGTTCCTGGACTGGTTCACCTTCTCACTCGCAAAAAGAAAAATGACTAGAAAATATTAGGATATCTTGTCATTGTTATATTTTATACCCCGAAGGACTTCTACAGACTTCTACAGTGTCGTCATACACTGCAAATGTTGTTGTTGGTAATGGCTGGGTTTGGTCACTCCCTATTGTAAAGGTCTCAAACTGACAAACCTAATATAACTTTGATCACACCACTGCAGCATTCAAAATAAGTTTGTTTGACCTACAAGCAAGGCTTACATTAAACTGTGATGGTGGTGGTATGTCACATCTATCAGTGGATCATATTTTACCTGGGGCCTACTAGTTTGAGACCTCTGCTGCAATCCTGTTTCTTTTAATGGAAGGCTGACTTTGTTTTTATAAAATTATATAGGTACAATCTTACCGTAACTGTATTACAGTGTATTACGGAAGGAGTGATTCTGAGCTTAAGTATTTATTAGGAATTAACTTTTAATCTGTTGACCCACACAGAAAAGTTAGTTCATGTAAGGCAAAGAAACGAAACACATTTGTGTTGGTTAGAGAAATGCAATATGACAGTGTGATGATAAGTGTAATGAATAGTTTTATGACTGTCATCTCTCAATCAGCCTGAACACGTTTGTCATTGTTTGAGTTTTTCAGCATCTTTAACCTACAGTGCGTTGTGACGGTCTACTAGTTTTACAGTTGTGCTTCTGTCTCTCTGTCGCTCTCTCTCTATTAGGAAGAGTAGGCTGCTGTTAATGTTAAACCTGCAGAAGTTCACTGTGCATGACCTGCTCAGCAGTAGTTGAACAATGTTAGTCTGTTTGCTTGATGTGCAAATAACTATCACAGTATGATAACATTACTGGTCACTGTTGTGTCAACACAATTTAGTTGAATGTTGTACATTTCACAAAAGCTTTACAATATATTGGTCTTTTTTCACATTAACAATAATTAATTTCACATTAAGTATGTTTATGTTTTGTTAGGGTATGGACCATTATTATGTTGAAAAAAAGACATTATTTTGTTTTCATTTACATGTGTCACTTCTCTCCCTCACTGCTGTGACTGTGACAGATTACAATCCATTATCATGAGATAAAAACACATTCTTTTTATTGTTTTAATTAAACTTTTTATCACAGCGATCTGAAAGCTCACATTTACAGACAAGAGAACTCTGCTCAGCAAGCAAATACATTAAAATAAAATAAAAGGAACATTTTCCTGTTTTGTCTAGTGAGGTTGAAGGAAAATGATAAGGATAGTTCAGGGACAGCAGTCTCCTTATCTTAATCCAAACACTGTCATCACACACCAGAGCCAGGACACTGCTATACATATTTCTGCTTGCGCTCATGGAAAGAATAGAACATGCATCGGACTATTTACAGCAACTCAATATACACAGACAGCTTGAAACCATACACTCACAAATATTCTCAATTTAGAAGTTTTCTTTAAATCAAGTATCTTACAGTTCGAGCCTTCATTTTCTGTAAAGATAAGCAGGGCAAGTCTCTGTGTCGCAGGTGAAACCCTAGAAGAAGAGGCAGTCGAGAGGAACTGACTGTCTTTTGATCATTTTATAATTAGAACCAAAAGGTAATATTACAAATGGACGGTCTATAACTTTTCACACATACAATTAGCTTCAATATTATCTTTTTTCTACTTTTTTTTTCAGTCACACCCCAAAATATGGAGACTGGACATTAAATTGTCAATCATACAGATAAATATTTCTCTTGTTGCAGTGGATTTGACTTGTTTTCAAGGCATGTGCAGGACCAGTGGATTAGACTGGTTCATTTGGAGACTCTAAATGATATTTCTGTTTTAAATGTATTAAATGAATACTTATAATATAGCATAAGCCTCTTGAAACAGACTTGCTCAATCCAAGCGACCCAAGCTGGAACAGAGCAGAACATTTGAGCCAGTATATACAACTTGTGCTAGAAACTCTATACATATTCTGCAGTTTAAAAACATTTGATAACTCTCCATCTCACCACTGCTTTGTAAATCTTATAATAATAGTGTCTACGATAGTCTGCTATTACTGGTCAGACATCTGACCCATCACACTCCCACCTCCAAATTCAACAACCATTACAACACAGTAAGTAAAATACATAAAGTGCACCCTTAGCCAAGAACTTAAACATTTTTAGTGCAGAGGGGGAGAGAAGGGGAGAGAAAGGGGGAGGTAAAATGCAAAAGGTTAAAAATAATAGTAAGAAATACTAAAGTAAAAAGGGGAGAATGTCAGTAACAGTGGCTTGTTTATGCATTTGCTTGCTTTTAGTCTCTGAGCACTAACCATTTCACTAGTATATGTTCTTTACTTTCTACTGTCCATTAACATACTGTGTTGTCACATACTGAGGAGGGACAAAGGCAAACTTTGGTGCTCAAGTGCCGAGTTAAAAAAAATCACTTCGAGGTGATTAAATGTCTTTACCAAAAGCTTTTAAAATAAAAACATGGGCACACATATTTCACATATACAGCAGTCTGTCCTTGGACATAAGGAAAATAGAGAGGGGGAATGAAACTCCTGGCCCACAAACCCCCTACCTATAGCCAGTGACTAGATGTGAATACAAATTCACATCAAATTAAAATTTGCCCTGGGGATACTGTTTAAAAAAAAGAATTGTGTTTAATAAGATGTTTTACATGGTCGCTTAAGACCGGGAAATAAGACCTGTACTAGCTGTTTGCACAATAATGGTGGCAGCACTTCACTTTGAGAGCCCTGTTATGGAGGTCTTAACAAGGCTTGTCATGGATGCTGTGCTGTTTCACCATGTCATCAGGTCACGAGGAAGGTTACTCAAAATAAATCATGAATAAACATTTAACACCACCTTTTAAAATCAGGTAATGTTAAAACACAATGTCCAAGTTTTGACAAAATGAAATAAACGGAGAATGAAGTATTTTGCTTCAAACTATATTGTTTGGAAATGCACTTGATGACTTTATGTTTCATTTGTAGCTCTACTTTATTTCCCTCTCTAATTAGTTACATATATTTTTTATTTTTGGATTTCGTCTTAAAATATATGACTATTGATTGATAATAAACAGTAAGGATCAATTGCTGTATAAAAACAACATGAGGTCATCTGATTAGGTCAGAACTCTCTCTCTCTATATATGTATAGTTAAGTGAAGAGAATTAAGGATGAGTCAGAGATGACCTTTGTCCCTCCTTCCTTAACACTTCCACCTCCATATGACTAGCAGTTGGACACAAAGGCAGGATCAACAGAACACAATTCAAACGCAAACTAAGTTTTATTTTACTCCTATGTACAATATATAACTTAATTATAAATATTGTCATTTTTCTATAAGTACTGAGTTGTTGAGCCATTTGTATTTTCTGAGCAATGTACAGTATTGAACATATAATATTGTATTACATAGAGTAGAGCCTACAAGCGACCTTGTTCAAGAGCACACCTTACTTTTGAAGAACGGAAGATGGATAGAACGTCCACAAGTTGAGTCGGATTATTGTTATTATCATTGGTAGAACCTTTAACACTGACAGTCCCACCTCTTGTGTTCACGTGTGGGGACTTTGTGCCACACAAAGATTTGGAAGTGCACTGGTCTTTGATTCGGCGTATGATTAGGACACTCCAGTTATCCTACCTGTGTGCAGAGTATGATAATGAATCACTTCAGTGTTGGTTGTGTTTTTCATTGAAGTTAATGTCTAATACCCTAAGTGTGTGTGTATGTGTGTGTGCTGGTTGTGTGGTTTTCCCTCCTGAATTTTTGTCTCAAATTAGTTCTTTAATACATGTTTGTCCGTGTCACATATACAAGAGTTTGCAGTATCTGTGTTGAGCTAAATATTTTTTTCTCTTCTAGGTCTAACAACCAACCAACCAGTCACAGACAGGCCGTTACACATTTGATTCCACAAAGGGTCTCTTTGGTTTGATGGGGGAGGTGGGGCCTTGGGTGCGGGAGTCACGAGAGAGCTGGCGGTACATGTTGTCCTGGTAGGCCTGAGCCACAGGCAGAGTCCTGGCTACCTTAACATCTGTGTAGGTGGGTGCCTGGCTGACCCGCTCCAAAATGTCCCCACTGCCTCGAGAGCCATTGGCCAGTTTGCCCAAGGAGGGGGGCTGGGGCTGGACGTAGTAGTCTTCTTCCAACAGGTGTCCGTTCTGGGCATTGTTGGTCTTGTTGTAGTAGGCGATGTTGCCCAGTGAGGTGGGGGGGCTGTAGGTGGAGCCTTGTTGGACCAGCTGGCCAGGTGAGGTGGGGCTGATGGCAGAGTCCATGGATGTCATTGGCCTGGACCGTGAGGGCTGATGTAGATACTGCTGAGTCCGTGCCGTCTTATCTATGATGCCCATGAAGGGCGTGTTTCTGGAGCGGCTGGGCTCTCCCTGATATAGCCCTCCTCCCCCCTGGGAAGGGGAAATGGGAGATATATCATCACAGGTTCGCTCATATGCAGCTTGCAGGGGAATCTCCATTTGCTGGATGGACGAGGACGGCCTGAAACCGGGCGCCAAATTTGCAGTGGATCCAGTTGAAATATTGTTGCTAGAAGGGGAGAATCGGAGGCCTACGCTTTGAGAGTGAATGAGCGGCCTGGGGGTTGGCACGTGCTGCTTTATCTCAGTAGTGTTGGCACTGACAGGACGTCTTACCATATGGGAGATTTCAGGAGATCCTAGCTGGCATGAGGGCAGGGCATTTGCACGTTCTAGTACATGTTCAGAAACTGGGTAGTAGGCGGCAGATTGGCTGCGACTAATCTGAGGTGTCTGACTATAACGGATACCTCCTGGACCCCCGCTGCTGGCGCGGTAGGCAGAGGAGGGGCGCTGGGGTAGCTCATCCTTCATCAGGCCTGACTCCATAACCCCTCCTCGGCCGCCGTGCTGACAGAGGGCCCCAGAGCTGAGGCTGGCCTGGACCTGGGGCATGGAGCGTCCATCCAGGGACGGCTGGTACACAAGCCGACTCTCCACGTCCACTGAAGCCCCTTGGTAGCGACCACCCATAGAATGACCCATTTGGCCAATGTAGCCGCTGTTTCCTATTACATTGCTTGGCTGGTTCGTGCGGACTATTTGAGCTATTGAGGGCTGAAGACGAAGACCTTGAGCTTGGTGGTGCTGGGAGGACAGAGACGGTTGGGAGCTCAGCTGGAACGAGCGCTGGCTACTCATTTTAGACAGAGGAGATTTGGGTCGGCCAGGAAGCTGTTCTGTCTGATAGCGAACAGGAGACCCAGACTGGGATCTGTACAAACAAACACTATCTATGGGTGGACTAGATCTGTACTGAGCAGCCCGACGTAACGGGGAAGGTGGTGGACTTTGGTGATCCATCCCCTGACCTCCAGTCCCCATGGGTGGAGGGCTGAAGCGGTACGATGACTGATGCACAGGAGACGTGTGAGTCGGGCTGTGTCGGTAGTGGGAATTTTGATGTGTTGGAGATAAAGAGGGTGATGTTGGCTGGTATGAACCTCGTGTTGGTGATGACATGGAGGAGGAGGTGGGGTGATACTCATAAGGCTGGCCCATGGGCGAAACTCCTGCCAAATAGATTTGATCTGCATGAGTGGGGGAGAGGGGTGGGCTCTGGATGATGGGAAGGTTAGATGGGTTGAGAGCTTCAGGCTGGGGCAAACCCATAGACATGGCTTCTAGTTCCTGCGCCAGGTAGTCCTCATCCTCAAACAGGTCCTGGACAGGCTCCATGTCCTCCAGACGAGGCTCAGGGGGAGGAGGGAGAGGCATGGCTAAGGACAGGGTCTCCTCTTCTTCAGGGGGAGGTGTAGGAGGAGGGGAGGGAGGAGGCTCCAGTTCCAGATCCTGCTGCTGATGGTCCTCCTGGTTGAGCTGGTGGCACTCCTCCTCCACCCTTTGGAGCAGCCGCTGGATTTCTCGGTTGTTAGGACACTGCTTTATGGCTTCATTCAAGTCCTCCAAGGCTTCAGGAAATTGTCTAGAAAGTAAACAAACATACGATTTCTTTATATATGTATAAAAGAAAGATATACCTAACAATGTATACAAATGAAAGAAAAAATATTAATATTTTAAAAAATGTTGCTGCTTTTTCCTCATCTTTTGTTTGTAATGCGCAAAAATATTTGAGGTGGTTCCATGCACCTGTTGAAATCCTGTTCAATTCTATGAAATCACAGTGACTATCAAAATATTACTATAGACTTTTTAAACAAGCTAATCTGTTCAGAAATACTGCATTTTCTGCAAATGAATGTTACCTCAAAAAATTAAAACTGATATTTTCCTAGTATTATTTCAATAATAGTGTGACTCCCCCACAAGCACAATGGAGATATTGAAAACCACATACCAATACATACTAATGGGTTACAATATGCAAAGACATGCTAAGCAATTTAATCTTGGACAACTTTGGTGGGCTTCCCTTTAAGGAAAACCTTCTAGAAAATTTGCTAAAGAACAAACATTCCTCTAACTGAACTATGTGTCCAAGTTTCAAAGGTACTTTCCTTACATACTCTACTGTCATGGTGGTAAAATGCTCATAATGCAAAAAAAAAACAAAAATGCAAAAAAACTGTGATTTAGAATTACCCATAAATAATTGTCCCATATATACTCCACTGGCATGGTGAAAAACAAAATTGAATAAAAAATTGTAAAGTAGGCCTTTTCTGCACGCAGAAAAAACAGTGGGAGGCGGTGGCGCCATCTAGAGTTACAAACTAGGTTGCAAATACAAGACGTTCAAATGCTGTGTGCATACACGCTGGACACTACTGTGGCAACGTCGTATTATATGTACATGAATCTTTGTTGTTTCTATCATACTTCCGAATAATACACGGATTATCAGATAATACGATGAGCACAGTACACTCTCCTCTAATACTGCAGCCGACAGATTAACCTACTCCACCGGATAACATACTGTAATAATCCACATTCATTCTCGTTAGTTCTATGCATACTATATGCTTTTTTTTCACAGTTTGGGTGGGCTTCCCTTTAAGGGAAACCTTCTAGACAAATTACTAAAGAACAAACATTCCTCTGAAATATAGACTTCGGAATCTTCAATATATACGCCCTGCATACACTCTTCTGTCATGGTGCTAAAAATAAATACACTGAAAGCACCGACAACATAAATCCACCAAACTCTACAACATATGAACCTCGTTAAATGTCCAGATAAATACTTTCAGAAGTAAATCATATCTATAAAGAGGGCTCGTTTTCTGTAGTCACACTGTATGTAAAGCGGGCTTGGATATTACCCAATCGGAAGGCAGTCTACTGAAAGAGGGTGGAGTATATAGCATCTAAGCCAATCAAACGCAAGCTTAGCCACTGATCACATTCAAATCACACAAAACACAGACCTCAACTGAAAATGACGACCGCATTTAATTTCTGTTTGCTTTTTTGCTTGCTGCTGCAGTTTGCCATTTTAAACAATTTCTTCATTTAACATTATATGCTGCTATATAAGAACAAGGTAAAAGAGAACAGGTTAAAAAGTATGTATATAAAGTAGTGATTTAAAGAATCTTATTATTGACTGATATTATTTCAGCTTCTTTATATGGTCTTTGTTTGGAAGGACATTTAAACAAAATCAAAATGTGTGGTCTGAATTTATAAAATGCAGAAGAGGTTATATTTAAATGACATGTACAATATATAGTTTTTTTTAGTTAAGCATGAAAACAAAGTACCCATGAGTTATTGCAAATAACAATAACTTGTGCAAATAATGTGGAAGAATGTTTGTTCTTTAGGAATTGTTAAACCAAAAGGTTAAACAGCTTGAAATATCAAATATACTATGAATATGTTTCATATAAAATAACACATTAAGGTGATAAACATTTAGGACTACTGGTAAAACTGTCACATGAAATGTTTGTCTCATGTTTCAAACTTAATTCACACAGCATTCTTAAACAACACCATGACAGTGGGGTATTGCTGGAGACATGTGGTCAAACTCAGCCACAAATCTAATCCAGAGGAAAGTTTGTTCTTTAGCAATTTGTCTAGAAGGTTTTCCTTAAAGGGAAGCCCCCCATGAGTGTCAAAAACAAGTATACTGTAAGTATAGATGAGGAAAGACTTGTCTGATAAATTTAGTCCTCATCAGTAATCAGATAACTAGTTATTTTATACAAAGACAAAAGTAATGTTAAGAACTAGAAGAAACTTTCTTTGCTGAAGCTATGACTAATGCAGCCATGTGTCAGACACACAGATCGTGAGTGTTCTGTACTGTGGGATGAGAGCTTGTACCTGCTGCTACGCTTGGCACGTGCCCTGGCGTAGTACGCTTCGTAGGATTTTGGTTTTAGCTCCAGCGCCTTGGTAGCAAATTCCTCAGCCATCCCAAAGTCCTGGAGATGGAGGAGAGAGGAACAATAGTTGTTTATTGTTGAGTTAACAGTGTACTGCACTGCAAAACAGTTAATATTTGAACTAGAACAAAGTTGATGTTAAAATCACAAGCATGTTGTAGTGTATTTTCACAAATGTGGTAAAAAAGGTTACCTGTCCTATTTAGAACTTGTTTTGATCCTGTATATATACCAATTATCGAGGATAAAACATAATACACCTAGTAAATTCACCTGCCAACACCTTCAGTCCACTATCGGTTAGAAAATCACAATATTTGTTGACTTACGTTCATTTTCCTCCGACATCGGGACAGGTTGAGGAAGAGTGACACTTTGAGTTCCCTGAAAGTCTTGAGGTCTTCATTGAAGCCTTCGCGGGGGAACTTTTTCAGGGCGTACTGATATCTCTGCGCTGCCTCCTTAACCTTCCCCTTCTGTTGGACACAGAAATGTCCCGGTTCATTAACAAGGCCTGGATGAAATCTTTACAAGCAAAGTATTTGTGTTTTCCATTTATTTCCATATGAATCTCAGCTTAATTTTTATTAGCTGCTGAACGTATTTGATGGTTTATTGTGTCAAATTATGAATGAATGTAGGCTTGGGGATGCAATGCAGGATGTATTTTAAACTAGTACATTTTCCTGGTAACAAAATTCTGTCTGTGTTTCTGTCCATCTGTCAGAGTTATTTGTTATTTCCCTAATATTTCACATTTCATATGTGTGATTTCAGCAGCACGTCATTGTCCTGTTCTCTGACCTTGTAGAAGCTGTCCCCTTCCTCGATGAGTTTGCTGAGCAGGATGATCATGATGTCGGGTTTGGATGTGGCCATGGCCCACGTGGCTGGACCTAGGTGTCACAGAAGAAGAAAAAACAACAGAAATAAGTCACAGGGAGAAGGAAACACACTCATCAGCAGAAGTGGAGGAAAGAGAAGGCCACACTAGACACACATTTATATCAGCGATGAGTACAACAGTCAAAATGGGAAATGGATTAAAGAGGACATAAAGGACATAAAAATCTGCTCTGAAATCTTGTGAAATCGCTGATGATACCAGGTCTGGGTCGAAACGTATTCGTCAAACATTTAGAATTTTGGAATTGCTGAGCTTAAACACAGAATACGATTTTTATCTTTAAAACAAATAAATATAAACGTTTGAAACTGCCTGCAAATATGTTTTGGCCCAGGCATAAAAACACTGTTATGACATAAATTCTAAACACACATATAGGTTGTCTTGACAGTGCAAATGTGCAAACACTTTTTGTCAGACATATTCATTCAGGGATGTCATCAAAGAAAAGCAGAAATGTAGGAAAACACACTGAGCTCCCAGTGAAAACCAATGAATGTTTCAAGTGAATCAAACAACTATTTTACAGACGAAAATCAACACAATCCCTTGACTGAAATTGATGTGTGGGCTCTGTATCTGAGCGACAGTAATCCTTGACACACACACACATATATATATACACAGATACACACACATACACACACACTACAGACACGACGAGGACAAAGTGACAGAGGGCAGGTATAATCAACATAAGTAGCAAGCAGGAGGGTTGAACAGCGCTCTGTGGGCGTTAGCCGTCATCTGAACTGCTGCTGGTAGAGATGGGAAAGGCAGGAATTCTGCTTCTTGGCCTAGCTGACACTGAAAAAACATTCTGGGATGAACGATGCACAGTACAGTGGTTAATCACCCCAGTCCATGGTGGCAGGCGCACAAAAGGAATTACACAAATACATGCATTTCTGCTAAATCATGACCACGCAGGTGTTACTGAGGGCTTTCCATCATGCATCTGTGGGATGAAAGGTCAACAACTTGATGTGACATCACAGGCTGGAGGCCAGGCATGCTGTAACTATCCACTGTGAACATTAGCATCTACCTCTAGGCAGCTCCCACTGCATCTCTTGTCAGTGTTTACATTAATTGTCATTTTAGAGATTTTGTCTGAGGTAGCTAAGCTCGCCTGCCGACACTTAAGACGACACAGACAACACAGAGAGAGGAGATAGAGCTGTCAAAATGCCTGGTGGGGTGAGAAGTCGACAGCCTTGGCTTTACCTCGGGGCCGACTGGGCAGCGTCTGACATCCTGGGGCCGGAGAAAGAGAGAGAGAAAGAAAGAAAAGAGAGCGAAGAAGGTGAAGGGAGAGGGGGAGGACGGGGTAAAGGGGGGACAGGGGGAGGAGGAAGAAGATCAGGAATGTGGGAAGGAGGATCAGAGGAAAGAGAGGGTGCAGAATTGCCAGAGGAAGCAGGGGGTGTGAGGTGTAGAAGGAGGGTGAGAGACAGGTGAGAGTGGTGGAGGTGGAGGTGGTGGTGGAGAAGGGAAAGGTAAAAAAGAAACACAAAAAAGCAGTGGTGAGAAGCGGAGATTAGTGCCACAGCAAAAAAAAAAGGAAAAAGAGATAAATTGAAAACAAAGCTACTTAAAAGGAACACTACAAGTTCTAATAACAACCTGTCCCTAAGCAACAGCAAAAGAAAACAGGGAAAAAATGTGTTTTAGCGAAAAGTGATAGAGACAAAGGTAGAGAGAGAGAGAGAGAGAGAGAGAGAGAGCAACACAACACAGTGGCAACTGTCTAAGAACACAAAGAAAGACACATTAGAACCAGAAATAGCTGAGGAAAAGAAGCATGGTGTGGTGTGTGTGTGGGGGGAGGAGGGAGGTGCGGAGGAGTGGGGTGACATACGTACAATAGCAGGAAGTAGTTTAAAGCTACATGGAGACGCAGTCCTAAATCCATGGCAGATTAGTGCAGCATAATGCCTCCGTGCTCTACAATAACCAACAGGAAGAGTATAATAGAAAGTCTGTCTTCACCATTGACTTTGCCGCCTTTTGTCTCTCCTTGAGTGATTCAACTTGGACTGCAGCATCGTATTTTTCCGCCAACATGCAGTCACAAATTTAATCTTATTATTCTATTAAGTAAATGACCTTTTCGTTGTGGAGCTACAGAACAACAAGGCTGTTATTAGAAGTACTTTAGAGCTGAAGTGCTCGCTCTTCACTTAGGCATCCTTCATTTACCTATCTTGGCTCCTTTCTTGAGCAGGGCGACCACCACGGACGTGTTTCTGCAACCCACTGCCCTGTCCAGAGGACGCATCCCGCTGTAGTCCACGTGCTCTATCATGGCCCCGTGGTCCACCAGGAACTGGACCTGAAAAGACCAGGCGCTGGTGTAAAAACAGTTCAGAATATGTCCTGACTGGATATGATTTTTTTTCCAAATGCAGTTCTTCAACAAAATAATATCTGTGGCATTATCCATCTATTTCTAGATATTTTTAAAATTTCATTTTCAAAGTGATGAGTGAATGGATCTGTGGGTCAAGTATTAGAAAACACCTGCATCCTGAAATATGGAAAAAGATAAGATGTACATCTGCAGCACTTGAAAATGTGAAACTACAACTAGTCTGCAACATGAACTGAGAGATCTCTGGTTGCCTGTATTTTTCTGCACCTGCATTTCATTAGTCGGCTGCAGTAAAATCTTTGTGTAAAATTTGTTGAAAGTATGTCAACATAGCAATCAAAGTTATTGACTGAATCATAAGAGGAGATAAAGACGGTATCTATAAATATAATCTTTAACTGTATCTTTACAAAATGCATCCCTTTTTCAGGTAGATAGCAAAGCCAAAAATGAGGAAATATTTATTGGCTCTGACCTTTTGTCAAAGTATTACATTTCTGGCCAGGTTAAAGCTTTATAATGCAGTACTAGTTTGGGTCATAGTCCAAAAAAACCCTTGAGTTTTTACATTTCTTCCCGTCTGTGTCTTGTCACCTACCACTTCAGAATCACCATAGAAAGCTGCCAGGTCAAGCGGCGTGCGGCCATTTTTGTCTGCGTGGTCGGTGGCGGCTCCATTCTCCACTAGGCAGCGGACGACAGGTAAGTGTCCTTTGAGACAAGCCCAGCTCAGAGCGGTCAGACCCTCCTTGTCTGTCAGAGACAGGGAGGCTCCTATGACAAAAAAAAAAGTTATGGCAGAACAGACAAACACACACAACTTATTACATTATTTTATTACTTTTATTAATAAGAAAAACATGGTTTAAAAATGTTACTGTAATATTAAATTGTTTGCAGATTCTTATTTTAATAATATTTTCATTAAAATGATTCTTGGAACAACTGCTAAAGAAAAACAATTCTAAATTTCTCTTTGATCAAAGACATGATTTTTACCTTGAGAAAGTAAAAACTCCACAGTTCCCAGGTGTCCCTCTGAGGCTGCCATCATCAGGGGGGTTCGTCCCTGCTTGTCGGCCAAGTTGACGTCTGCTCCATGGTTGAGGAGAAGGTCTACGATCTTAAAAAAATATATGTATCATTTTATTTAACCATCTTTCTTAAAGAACAAACTTTGTCCTGGAAGAGAGGACAGACCTGCCAGTGTCCCTGTCGAACAGCGCTGAACAGCGGGACAATGCCACGTCTGCTGGACTGGGCCACAGCTGCTCCCTGCTCCAGTAACAGACGACACACGTCCAGCTTCCCTCTGCCAGAGGCGGCAGTCAAAGCTGGACAAACAAAACACACCAGCTGCCATGTTAGTAGTGTATGCAGTACACAGGTAGTATTTGTGTATATTCATGAACTTTCAAAAACTTCTAAACAAGAATGTGTTAGCCTGACGACTGCAGGTTTTTAACTCCGCTGCAGTTCCCTTTATTGTCAGTCCTGACTCCTGAGTGAAATATCACTCTCTTCTTTAGCAGCTAATGGTTCCATTGTCTACAGCAGCTAATCACCTGCTGTGTCAGCGTTTAGGTAAAGAGCAGGTAGGGAGTGAATCTGCTGTGAAAAAGCTGCTTGTGAAAGCAGTAAGGATTTGAACTACAGCCACAGATTAACAACTGATGCTAACTTAGAGCGCTGTGAGGAAAAATGTGAAAGAGAAATGAAAAGAAGGGGGAAGAGACGAGAAGAAGAAGAAGGGAGGAAAAGAGAGAGTGACAAAATGCAGCCCCAAAACCTTACAGAGCCTTTCCTTCTACCAAGTAAAGAAATGGAAGATTAGAACTGAATACAAACTACCAGTGCAGACAATGTTATTATGTTATATCTGCCAGACCTTTACGTAAGAGCAGATTTCCGATTCCCAGAGGATCCACATGCTTGGCGCCTGTTAACAACATATCTACTGCTAACATGACATGTTCCAAATATGGGATCAATATAGTACAGATGTTTTTTTTTTTTTAAAGTGCTCTTTAGGGAGTACGATGATAAAAAAATAAAAAAAATAAAAAAAACTTATTCCCACCACTGTGTGACTTATATTCAAAGTGAAGTTAATACTGGGCTCCTGGAAGCAGACTTCACTGGCCAGGTCTGGGTGTTTATCTGCATCTGTACAAACGGATACACTGCAAACATATGGTACAGTCCCTGTGGCTGTTGAACAGAATAATGAACACTCATGGACTATTAAGAAACAGGCATAAAAACCAACAGCGTCATCCCTCCAAATCCCTTAGAAACAACTGAAGTACTGATCAGGTACAAGTCCCCTTCTCCAAGTGACAGTGAGAAGAAGCCATTCCAAAACTCCGGCAGCCAGAGAATAATGCTTGCGATGAGCTTTCATGGCTCTGGGTTACAAGGATACATTGTGTTCCTCAACACCCCTGCCACGGCGCAATCAGACGAGTCATTTCTAACGGCCCTGGAGCAAAACTCATCCATCTCCACTGCCCCTCCCCCTCTGTGTGGTGTGAGCCCAGCCCTGTCTCTGCTCCAATGACACCACCACACTGCCATCAGCATCTGACGCAGCACAAGCATCACACATGCACACGCGCACACACTCGTACAATCCCACACATCCGCACTGCAGCGCTGTGCCTGGAGCTGAGGAACACGCCCACAAAAACCACTCCACAGATGCTTAAAAAAACATAGTTTGATTTGTACCAGGCTGTAGTGCAGTACGTTGGCCCACAAATACACACGCCATCAGGCATCGCACACATCTGTCAGTGCTGATGTTATGGTTTGTTCTTTTTTTAATCAATAAAATGTCAAAGTGATAGCAAAGTGTCCCTCACCTGTCTCTCCCCACAGGGTGTCAAAGTTATTGATCTGAGCCCTCTCCACCTCCTCTTCATCTTTCTCTGGCAGGTCCAGCAGGTAGGACACGATCTGGTGGAGAACGATATTCAACACGACAGAGATGAATGATTAGAGTTCACTCTAGCACGCCTTCATAAAGATGTTGAACACCGAGAAATAGGACAGAGAAGATCTTCATCCAAGCAGGTTATGGTTAAAGACCGGACGTCTTCTACATGAGAATTCTTTAAAACTTGTACTTCTTTCTCTTTCGTAGCCCTGGAGTAATTGAACTAACCCTCAGACGTTTTACTGCTGGCAGTTGTTCTATGATATACAGCAGTTTTGACTAACTTAGATAAAAAATAACAAAGTTAACTGACCACATTTAAAACTTTCCTTCAACTAAAGGTGCTTGAGCAACTGTGGAGATTAAAGTCACTGGAATGTTCTACAGACAATATATAAAAAAAGGTGCCGCAGTGTCTGGAGGTCAGAGGTCACTCCTTTACTGTTACTTCATGATGTCACTCAATATCACCATCTACAGTTCTGAAGAGTGAGTGCTGTCATTTCCCAGTTGAGGTCTGCCTCAGTAGAACATGATTACACAACCGCACATGACTCAATAGGGCAGTTGATTGACAGCTTTACTGTCCAATAGAATTCTCAATGCAACCATGATTGATTATCTATCATTCTGAGATAGAAACTCACCAATCAAACATCATTTTCTATTGAAACTACCAAATCAAGTCTGTCTATTAACCTCATTAACTGACACTGTCACTGCTGACAATAAAGTTAACCATGAGCCTCATTTCCATTATTCAACACTCATATTTGGGTATAATACTTGAACCCAGTACCTCTGTGTATCCCATACTGGCAGCAGCCACCAGGGCCTGCTGTACTGCGTGACTCTTGGTAAGTGACGGCTGTTGCTGGTTCTGTGGTGACTGTTGCTGCTGCTGTGTTCCTGTGCCCCACTCACACTGGATGAGGTACTTCACCACTTCCATGTGGCCCCTGAGGGCCGCATGTACCAAAGCGCACTGGCCATTTTTATCCAGGTGGTCAATCTGTTCACAGGATATGGAAATATGTGGGGACTGCAAACAAACACATGACGTGTAGAAAAGCGAGATCGTGATTGTAATTTCAAACCTTTGCTCTCCTACGACAAAGTGCAGTAACGATTGACATGTGGCCCCCAGCAGCAGCATAGGCCAGGGGTGTGAGGCCACTCTCAGAGGGGGCGTCAATAGAGGCACCAAACTCCAGCAGCAGGGCCACCATATCCATGTAGCCCAGGTGAGAATGGACACAAAGGACGGGGGCGTTGTTCAGCACCTCAGTGCGGTAGTTCACATTAGCACCGCCCATCATCAGCAGCCTGCTGACCTGCACACATAAGGAAAGGAAAGGAAAGTGAACTACTTGTTATTGTGACACAGCACAGAACCACACAACCACACAAGCACACAACCAAATGTGACTTCTGCCTATCACCAAAGTGAACAGTGGGCAGCTTTAAGTGTGTGGGGACGGAGCCATGCTCAGAGCACCTCAGTGGTAACTTGTCAGCTGGTGGACTCAAACCTGAAACCTTCCAGACCCAAGTCTGCTTCCTTAACCACTAAGCCCCCATAAGCAAGTCAAGTCAAGTTAAGTATGTCAGATAAAAAAAGTGAGAGCCCTGCACTTCACTTTTAGATTACTGACCTTAGATTCCTTTGAAACGTTTAGCATTAATTTAAAACATTTAGTTCTTATTTTAACCAAGTTTTCCCAACTGTGTTTTTTTTTAATTTTTTTTTTAAAACATCTACACTGTAGTTAAAAGCCAGATGAACATGAAGTTTAACTGTCTAATTTACCATTTATCCTCCCAAATAAATAAACAAATAGATAGAGTAGAAATATGTCAAATTGCATTCTTCATTTATATATAACTCATAAGTGCCATGTTGGTAGTGTGTACCTTGATGTTGGGAGTGTAGAGGTTTCGGAGTGAAGAAAGTGCAGCTGAAAGGCCCTCTGTGCTGTAGGATACCCACAGTCCTTGCAAGATGGAGGAGGAAACCCCCACTTTCTTGCTAAGACCCTAAAACAAAGTTCAGAATCATTAGCCCATGCTCGCTCCCTTCATGTTTGTGTGTTAATTATTGAGGTACATGGAGACACGTGCTGCATACCTTGAAGATATGTGCTTTAAGAATGTGATGGCCCAGTTCAATGGTCTGCTGTCTGTTCAGCTTATTCTCCTGACGAGAAAACCAGAAGGCCAGCAGGGTGTGACCGCTCCTGCAGGAACATCAGTGAAGAGTCGGACGGTCAGTCATCGGGTCATTTTGTCGTGTTTTCATTGACGTGCACATTCAAATAAAGCCATTGTTTTTAATTTAGTCAAATGATATCCCATAATATCAAACATGACTGCTGAGACTTTTATAGTCTCTGAACTCTGTTAGACAATGAAAAACCTATTTGCATGATGATTAACCAATTAACTCCACTGTGAGTCTGCAGCTCTCTGCATTACACAGAATTGTTATACGAGTAGATATTTTGTGACTTGTACCTTAAAGATTATTTTTCTTGACACACATTTTCAGGTAAACTGCATTAAAACAGACAATCTAAATATAGTATCATCACAAATGCTCCAGAATAAAACATTTGTCTTCTTAAAAATAAAGATCGTATTCTGTAGCTACTCATTTATTTAAAAAAAATGCATTTTACACAAAAAGTCAAAATGAAAAAAGATTTGAGTCTCATTGTTATGACAGGAGCATTCACCATGAGAGTAAAGATCTTTACATATAAAACATTATATGTAAAGATTTTAATTAAATTAAATTAATTCTTATTAATAAGAATAATTTAATTTAATATTTTAATAAGAACAGTGTCAGTCAAAAAGTATCAGTTCAGGAACAATTTCACTAAAATATTATTAAACTATTAAACTATTAAAGAATTCTGCTTCGTTGTGATGGTGTTACAGCAGAGTCCAGCTTCAGTCCAAACATCACAGACAGCACGGATCAATCAGGTCTAGTCTCACCTGGGGTCACAAAGGAACTTTGTCTTCTCTCCTTCCTCTCTCCAAATCAGCCACTCCCTGAAGGAGGGGTGGACAAACATCCTGGTGCCGTCCCTCCTCTTCACCAGGAACACTGACAGGTTGTCCACCCGTTGCTGGAAGTCCTCCCAGTCCAGCATGCCCTGCAGCCACAGACTCTCAGAAGTTGGACACTGTTCTGCATTTCAGTCTTCAAAACAAAGTCAGATCCAGAACGCAGCACTTTGGGAATGTGGGTCGGTAAATAAGACCTCTACCTCTACAGAAAGAGAACCAGGCTCTGCTTCATATCAACTCCCAAAGTGTAGACAAGAAGAACTGAGTTTGTTTCTTTGCTTAGTCCAGAGTTTGGTTAGTTGTTTTAAAAAGTTTACCGATTATTAATGCACCAGAGGATTATAAAGATTTAACCATCTTTTACTACTGGGGTTGGACCTGATGACCTTTTGCTGTAAGGCAGGAACACTAACCAGCCCTGCCTGATTTTCAGATTAAAACAATTCAAATGAAAACCCACCACTGTGCTGAACAATTGTTGTAAATTTTTCACAGTTTAGGTTCTCACATTTTGAGATTTCCATTTTTCCTCCTACGTTGGCAGCAGGTGCACTGCACAAAAGAGTTTCTTTCCTTTGTGCACCTTTAAAGTCTCCTTTAAAAGGAGTCAAAAACATATCACTTCAGCACTAAATGTGATAAAACCTAACTAAATCTGTTAAAACCCATATTTGACATTTGGGTCATTTGTGTGTGTGTTATGTATTGTATTTAAAATATATAATAAAGAAATAATTTTCTAGAAATGAAACCTGTCAAGTCTTAAGAAAACTGATTTAGATTTCACTGTCTGCAGGCCTGTACCAGTGACAGCTACTAACCTGCAGTGAACCAGCATTGGTGGCCTGATAAATCTGCTCATCTGTCAGTGGATGAAGCGAGGCCACGGCCACGTTGAGCAGAGGCAGCGCCCGCTCGAACGACGACTGCGTGGGGAAGCGCATGTTGCACTGCAGCAGGTAGACCTCGGCCAGGTTGACTGGGACCACCTGTGGAAACAGCAAACAGAGTGGGACGCCCCGAGTCAGGAAGAACCACGGGATCTGAATGATGCAGCGTGTTGGAGCAGCACATCCACAGCGTCTGAGAATGTGAATTTATTAGTTGTCATTCTTTTATGAAGCCTTGAAGCACTCCTGAATATATGAAATCAAATGACTTCTGGGCTGCGAGATGAAAAATACTTCATCACAAAGTGCACACTGAAGCCATTCAACGGCATTATTTATAAATAGCTGTTCAATTCTGACTATCAAAACATCTTATGAAACTGCCTACCGCTGTGAGCAGGTAAATAAACAATGCCTCTGCAACACAAGAATGTAGCAACACTGAGGTTATAGCAGACAATATAACACCAGTGTCCACGAAGTTACTTTATCAAATTCACACAAATCATTTTCAGTTTAGTGCTACATCCCATAAAGTCAATTTTATTGTCTCTGATGTTGAATAAAATGCAAAATGTGTTTTATTTTATTAACAGTTTCAGGGTTTTACAGACATTAATTAGGATATGCTGTATAAAAGAAAAGTCATAAAATGTTTAGTCTTGTAAATCCTTTTAGATTAAGTAAAGGCAGTGTTGCATTTACTGTCCTAGAAGAAAAACAAAGCTGTACTACAGCTCTCTGTCCCCTAAACTAAGCAGCTAGGTCGTTACCTTACCTTATAGCTAGAACTTTTAAGGACTAGGTAGCCCTTCTCAATGAGGTCAAAGGTGAGTTTGAGGTACAGGTAGGAGCCCTGACTTAGGGCCTTCAGGTGGGTGCTAAGCTTGCCAAACGTAGTGTTGTCCATTTTGCCGTTTAGTGAGATGTTGTTCTGGATTTCCAGACTGCTGTGGATGCGGTGCAGGATGTAGCCCTGCAGGTCCTGGTCAATGGCATCGTTCTCTTCGAAGCTGTCCAGGGAGATGCGGTGGAATGGCAGAGCGTTGGTGATCTCCTAGGACATGGTGTGAAATAAATCACCACTTTATTTTCTGCTGAATACATTGGAAAGAAGCAACACAAAGTTTTTCATTAGTCCAAAGGCACCTGTAATGTTGTTCTGACCGTGACCACCAGTTTGAGCCAGGGAGGGAACTTATTGATGGTTTTAGAGAGAAAGGACACAATGGTGTCACCGTAGTCTGGTTTGTGGAACTCAGCCTCGTTCAAACCATCGATGAGGATGATGAGGTCCTCCTCTGAGCTGATCTTCCTCTCTGAACAAGGACCACAAAGACAAAGACAGGAGGTAACAGTGTAGGGGGGAGGTCGGGGCATATGAAATAAAATCAAATCACATTTTTGACTAACATTATTATTTGATGTTTAATTTGGAATCAAGTCGCAGACCGGATTGGACAGGTCGGTGGGCCAGATTTAGCCTGCGAGCTGCCAATTGATAATCACTGGTTTAGAATGACAGTGATGATGATGATGGAAACGATCTGGACTTGGAGTCCCAGTGGTTTTTTGAGTATCAGAACACTCTTTAAATCACCAAGGTTTTATTCAGTACCATTACCAACTGTGCAAACAAAAAATACTGGTGTTCTAACAGAATGTCACATTTACAACAAGAACTCAAGAAACTCAGCCGCGATTTATGCAAATCATTTCTGAATAGATATTTTAAAATTCTCGCCATCAATTCCTAAAAGTCAGCTTCCCTTCCAACGCTCAGATGCTGCACAGTTCCAAACGTCCTCTGGCAAAAATCAACACAAAAACTTGGTGCCAAGTGCTCTGTGAAATATTTTATAGAGTTAAAAAAAAACTTCAGGCTTATCTCTTTGGCAGTGTGAGTGTGGATTTGGCCAATGCCAGGAGAACGTTACCTGCTAGACTGCACTGTGCTGACTGTAAAGTTCAGTTGGAGGAGAAAAACTGATCTGGTGTTGTCTTTTGGGATTGGCACGAGTCTCTGGAGTTCACTGAAGTTAAATCAATTTTATGCTCTCATCTTTACGGGAACATTTTGGAGAATATACTCGTCCGCTCCAGCATGACTGTTTCAGTGACATCATTTTGAAGGAACTAATTGTAAGATTTCAAGCCATGTCCTTTTATTTGGTTTCTATTAACCGGGAGCTTTTCTAGATGAAAGGACACAGGAAAAAATTCATAAAGAGAGCCAAACTGCTTAAGAAAACCTTCCAAAAAATCGGAAAAAAAAGGTTGTTCACACAGTGAAAGTTTAAAACAGTGGGGGAGACGTTAAAACTTCAGCTACTCTGTGAAGAAACCTTGGATGAAATAATTTAGATTCCTAATCCAAGATCAACCCATCCCAGCAGTAGTGAAGGAGTCTCACCTTTGTAAAGTGCGTCCAGCGGCTCCAGGACGCCCCTCCTGAAGGAGGCCAGTGGATCCTGGACGCAGGAGCGCAGACTCAGGACGCTCTGGAGGTGCGGCTCCCTCAGCAGCTGCTCCCTGTACGCCACCAGGTGGGGGGAGCGACACAGAAGGGCTGCGACATTGTGCACAAACTCAGGCACCAGGCAGGTGTAGGCGTTATCTGCCTGACAGTAGTGATAGGCCACCACCTGGGGGGGACAGAGAGTCGTGGAGGCGATTAGAGGCAGGTCAGTGAAAGACAGAACAGTGGGAGAACTGAGGGTGTAGCCACAGAGACTGGAGATCAGTGTTAAGAGGCATGAGAGTCAAATGACACAGTTTCAGAATCGTTTTTTCAGGGCTCTGCTGGTTTCCTACAACTCATCTGAGGATGATTCAGCTTCATGCTGGTTGATCGCAGTCTAATGGAACATAATACTTCTGGTTACGCTGCACGGCTTTTTGCCTTTAATAATTCATGGCTTCCGGCTGCCAGGAGAGGCTCAGGGCGAGCTCATGTGTGAGATGAGCCAGTCACAAAGGAGTCAAGTGTTAAACTGTCACATTTCACAGCTACCATACTGTATGAACATGGAGCAAATGAATGATTAAGTAGAAAGATGCATGAATGAGAAGCTGGCATAAGGAAGTGGGCTGACTGAGGAGCAGCAGTGGGACTGACCACACGCCTCCAAGATCACAACGAAGTTGGTTTTACATTGGCGTTGGCAGCGATCAGATAATAGAGAGACAGAACCAAAAGACTCAGGCAGGGACTCATCGAAAATCAAACGCTAATTTTTTTGGTCACATTGGAATAAAGGCCTTTGAAACAAAAGGGGTGAAAAAGGGAGCGAGCTCAATTATTAATGCACAGAGTTAACAAGATCTAATAGCGTGGCTGGGAAATGGCTTTCTGCAGGTATAAATATTTCATGAGGCTCCCCGGCAAAGTTGTTTTTTCTTTTTTAAACACATCTGCATAATACATCAGGCTAGCAGTGAGGATGCAGATGGCGAGCAGCGGGGGGACAGGGAGGGGGCAAGGTGCAACAGCAAACAGGAAGGAGATTGAGAGAAAGTGTCACTTTCACACGTCACGCAGGTTGACATTTACAAGTTACGTAATACATAAAGAATACGCAGCGCAGTAAAAATAGGATGGCAAACAAAAATGATCTGTGGGAGTCAGTGATGATCTGGAGCTGCAGCTGAAGTAGCTGAAGTGTGGATTTCTCTACAAGGGTGAGAAACTGTGTGGTATCTGACTCAAGGATCCACCATGAATTCAAAGTACCAAAAAACACCGTTTCTTTAGTTCAAAGACTTCAATGTTAGGATTTATAGGTAAATCTATGGAAATATTCCAACTTTAAGGCAAACATATGTAACATTTAGTTGTTGTGAGTAAAGGGCAGACAACTGACTGGTAACAGGGAAAATCTTCTGAAAATAAAACAAAATATGAACAGCATAATGTATTACAATTAAACATATATTTCACACTTCAGGTCAGCTCTAAAACTAAATTTAATTTATATTTAATTTTAATTTAAAATGTTGCAAGTATTCTGAAGACAGAATTATTTAAATTGAATTATCATTATGAGTAAAAGTAGTTTGTTGAAAGTCAAAAAACTTTGACCTTACAGATGGAATATTTAAATGGTCCTACTGGTTGGCCTACTTCTACTTCCTGTGTTATCACTAACTGTGAAATCGAAAGCACACTGAACTTTTCAGTTTTGCAGATTTTTCAGCTGAGAAACTCTCAAATGCTGTACAGATAAGTTGAGCAATTTAGTAGTGGAAATTGATAAAGGAGGAAAAAAGGCACACGAATGATGAGCGAGTTTCCATTTAACACTGCGATGAGAGCAATGGGGGGAAAGTGAGATGTGGGGAGGTAGTGATGAGGCTAAGTGCTTTGGGATTGTGCACTTATCTTCTCATAAAGCTGGGTAATCAAATCAGAGCTGAGGATTTCATATTAAAATCTCCAGCAGCAGGATTATTTTTAGACTGTATGGTTGAAAAATGAATTGAATTTGCACTTGTAAATGTGAGGAAAAAAAACAAGTGTTCCACCTACATTCTGCTAGAAGTTTGGAGAGTGGCTTTGTGTGTGTGTGTGTTTGCATATGTGGTCACAGGAACCTGAGATGCCAGCCTCCTCATGGATTCTTCCTGACGTCGCCTCATCTCAGGGGTCCCCGGACAGCTGCCTCCTCCCAGGGTGCCGTGCGTGGGCTGGGGCTGGGTGAGAGGAAGCCCCTCTCCATCTGGACACCACAAGATAAGTCACCATCAACAGAGACGGCTCTGAGTTGCGTAACAATCACTGTACACACAGTAAAAATCTAGATGGAAACTGATGCTTACGTTTGGGTGAGGCCTGTGGGCTGTCGGAGGCGATCTGTCTCATACGTGTGCCGTGGCAGCTGAGAGCCACCAGACGGGAGATGATGGCGGTCTTGCCGAAGCCGATGTTCCCCACCACCACCACGCCTTGGTTGGTGCTGATGTTGGGGCTGTTGAGGTGGGCGTCGATCTCCTGGAAGAGCCACTCCCGGCCGGTGAAGACAGAGTCCATGGTGATGCTGGGCACCTCGAACAGCAGAGGTTTGAGGGCGATGTCTTGAGGCCGATATGGAGCGAATCGCACTGTAGGGTGAAAGAACGACGGTGAGAAGCCTGACAGCAGCGTACAGCTGAGGACTTCATCTTTAGACTTAATTAATTCACCCAAAATCTACCTAGTTTAGAGAGTTAAAAGTTTTCTAAGGGTTTGTGAAGATTCTAAATGAAGTAAGGCTAATACACTGACCTAACCACTGGTCTATGACCTTGGAATTTAGGGAAGTACTTGTAGTAGTGTAAACTTACAATAGTTCCAGTCAAACTTAGCTGCAAAAATGTATTTCTCTGTGTAAAAAAACCCCAAAGAAAATTCCTTAAAATTGTATTTTTTATAATAATAATAACAACAACAACAATAATAATGTCTTACTGTATTATTTTACATTTTACAGTTTATAACTTTAAATGTTTTTGAACATAAACAAAGCAAGGTTCTGTTTGTACATTTCCTGACATTATCGTTAACTGACCTGGTCGACTAACAATTTTATTTTTTCAGTTGTTATAAATTAGTTGAATCTTAGCTGTAGCCTTCTTGGAGATGTCTTAATGGTTTTACACCGATTCACACAGCTGTACAAAAAAATTAGCTGTAGGTTAAAGGAGCGACTGCTTTCCCCACTGAAGACTTTTTTAGTCACTAGGGGGAGTCCTCTAGAGGATGGGCATCCTTACAGTACAACATATGGACCATTAAAGACTAATGAGGGTAAAATGAATGTGGTGTGACATAGTCAATGTAATATTTAGTCTGTTGGTTCTGGGCCTCGTCCTTTAAATTGATCTGAGCTGTGAGGTTAAAAAATCTGCACGTCTCTCTCTCTCTATCTCTCTCTCGCTTTCTCTGTCTATTTATACTGTGCATAATTTCTTTAAATGTTATTTCAGCGTAGAGTAATTACACCACATTTCAAATGTGAGCAAGCGAGCAGAACAAGCCGCCTGGTGCAACAAACAAAAGACAAAGTAACTTACGTGACTGCGATTGCCAGGCATGGCTGTTATTTGCAGAAGCTGAGACGAAGAGCAAACAAAAAGGCAGGATGAGGGAGGGATTGGAGGAGAGAAAGACAGAGGCAGTGAGCACAGGAATGGGCACTGGCAGCTGTTTGCCCAAGCACGGTGCAATGAAACAATAGCAGTGAGCAGCGATAGCATCAGCACATAATTACAACAGACACAGTGGGCTGAGTGGGTCCATTATTAATTGAAATTCTTTGGATTACACTGAGAGCATTTCTCTGCATGTCTGCAAGGTTAGGGTTGGATAAGGTTTGTACTTTTGGGAGAACTCTAATTGGTTCCAGTGTGTCAGAAGAGATCAATCAATCCCCATAAAAGGAATTGTATTCAGCAGCAGCAGCAGTAGTAGTAGTAGTAGTAATTTAAAACTGTGATGTGAGGCTGCCAAATTGACTCCACCGCCTGCTGTGTGTGAATTACAGGCCTTAGCATACTGTGATCTACACCTGCACAGACCAATCACAAAGACTGGACATCTTTTAAAATGAGCCAGAGCTAAATCAAAATTTCATCACTGTCTTTCTCTTGGTTTCTTGCGCAGGTTTAGGTACTGCTCAGTGTGCAGCGAGGGAAAGCTGCTGGTCAGATGATCACTATTGCGGTATCATTTCACACTCCGCAGCACATCAGCAATAAACCCCACTGTGAGTCAGAGCTGCGTGTATCATATACTAGACTGGCAGGATTTGACGCCGAGAAATGACTGAATTTTCATGTGTCGGCAGAAATTTCTCCACAAACCGCCGCCACAGCGCAGCAAAACACATCTATCAGAGGGCATTGAGGGACAGTGAGTGTTGCACCAAAGCTGCAGCGCTTCTACACTAAACATTACAATATGTAAAGAGCTGTTTTCAGAAAAGTTGGTACAGTCCACGCTAATTCAGTTAAACCCTGATTCCACAGGCAAAAAAAAGTAACTGCCAAAAGTCTGCTTTAAAAACAGAGACACAAACAGGAAATGTTCCCTGCATCATATTCCAAAAAGTTGACACAGAGGCAACATCCGATTAAAAAAGTCAGAATAAATAAACCCTGGTCAGTTAGCTGGTCAGCTGGACACCAGCTGCGATGTGAAAACAAGGTTCAGTCAAGGCTGAAACCTGAACCTCAATGGAGAACTGAAGGTCAGTTTTCAACTCCAGCTGAGCAACAATCTTTTTAATCTTGGTTTTTAGTCCTGTCTTTGCCCTATTGACTTACACATAAAGGTTTTTAATTTTACAGCTTTTTAAAAACTTCTCTGGATGTACTTTCATCACACGTTTCTGTCTTCAGAAGTGAAAATTATAGTATTCCAAATGAAATGAATAGAAATGCCCAGAAAACCAACACCACTCTACACACCACATACTGTATCCAATCAGCAAAAGCAGTCGACGTAAGTCAAAGTGTGTGAAAAGCTTTTCTCAGTTAGGTGAGCACAAAGCCAGTGCTGCTACAGTGAGCTCTGAGCCAGCTGCAGCACAATGTAATAAAAGACATTTCATCCATACTCCCTAGTCAGATTATTTTAGTGCCAACTCTCCACAAACACACGCACACACACGCACGACGTGAGGCGACTGACTACTCTATGATGTCTCTGCTCCACAAACTGATGAAATATTCCTGGGATTTTATGTAATGAACCTGACGCAACTGCACTGATGGAAAATGCAAAGTATTTCTGCAACAATCCCATTTATCATTCCCTGGACCCCTGAAGTACGAGGCTAAATACACACAGATACTCTGATTTAAGTGTCACTAATTCAATTATCGTGTGGGTGAGTGGACGCCAAACGTGCCCATAAAGATTCTCACTTCCCTGTGGAGCTACAAAAACAAACTCTCAGCCCAAAGGGCATCATTCTGCAAATGACAGGCAGGACTGCACCTCCTGCACATGCAGTCGTGCCATGTCTACTGCTCCTCTGAGTCAGGTGTTCCTGGAAAACATGGCAGCCATGTTGTGAATGAGAGGCATGGGAGTAGATTCCAAAAGGGTGAAAGCAGATTTGTATTTGTGATGGATGGATGGATGATTAATGGATGGATGGATGGATGGATGGCATCACTGCCCCCTCCTTTGCCACCATCCTTCCACAGCCAGACGATGAAACATCACAGACATTTTAATTATGCACCAGGTGAAAATGACTCATGAAGGCCTTTAAAAAACAGGTGGAGGAGGAAGAGGTGACGTAGAGGAGAAGAGAAAGACAGGGAAGAAGTGGGATGGGAGGA